CCCTGACTGATAAATATAATGGAGAGTGATCAAGGAAGATACTGGACATCAACCTTAGGCCTCCACACTCATGTGTTCCTGCATATATGCAAACACGAGTATACATACCATCTTAAAAATGCGATAGGTGGTAACAGACACTCTAAAAATGGGGAAATTAAGCTGGTATCATGAAAAGAAGAGAGGGTCGGGCTTCATAGAAGAGTAAGGTCAATTAGGGTTAGAGCATGATCAGAATATATTACTAACACGATAATAATCCATGCAAATATTTTTTGTTCTTGGTATAGGGTTTCTCTGTAACAGCTCTGGCTGTCCTGGAACTCGATTTGTAGACCAAAGTTGGCCTTGAACTCACAGAGCGCTGCTTGCCTCTGCCTCCCCAAGTGCTGGGATTACAGGCGTGTGCCACTACCATAAAACAGTTCTTTATACCAGGCATGTTGACATGTGTCTATAATCCCACCACTGAGAAACCAGAAGAATTATGTGTTAGTAGGCCATCTAGACTACTGAGTGAGTTCCAGGATATCCTCCTGGGCTACAGAGTGAGCTCTTCTCTCAAAGGGGGAGGGGAGCAAAATTGGGCCAGTGTGGTAGAACACACCTTTAATACAAGCATTTGGGAGGCAGAAACAGGCAGGTCTATGAGTTTGAGGCCAGCCTAGTCGACGTGATGAATGCGAGGCCAACCAAGACTACATGATGAGACCCTGCCACAAACAACTACAACAAAACACCTAAGCAAAAAGAAAATCTTTATCCAAAACTTTCCCTGTTCAGAAAAAAAGGTGTCATTTTTCTCCCTATGGTCATGAGTCTGAGAGCTAACGAGACAAACCATCTGAGCTAAAAGGATCTTGTTCAGTTGCTTGTTTGCTGAGATCTATCATCCCAGTCGAGGAGATTTAGATTGATTCTGAGCTCTTCCAGCTGTATTGTCTTGGCTGACCCAGAAAACAGAATGAAAACCAATCAGGCCTTGACCTTGTGTCTTGAGGCTGTGTGACTATCACACGTTCATGGCATACAGATAGGCTTTCTGCAGAGATCGCCAGTGTTTTGTTTTACAACCTTTCCTTTTCCCTCTCTCCTTTCAGTATAGCCTTTATGCCCTAGTAAGCCATTAGAGTATCCAAATGACTCTAAATATTCTAAATATATTAACTCTTGGGTTATCTAGAATGACAGGTTGCTGGGCATTCATGTCAGCATACTCTGTCAGGACTTTATGTTTGTTGTTGTGACTTGTTACTTTGTGTTGAACATTCTACTGTTGGTATTATTGGTTCTAAGTTACCTTTTGTAGGTTGCTGTTTTGGAACCATCATCTCTGTCTCACGCCACTGTCCCCTGTATTTTTGCCTCTCTTTTTCTTCTTTGAAATTTATTTTATATAAATAGCTTTAGGAGGGTCTATTGAGAGAGGTGTGGGTATAAAAATCCATGTACCATTCACCCAACCTGAACAATTATTTTTATTCTACGTGTTTGTTTTGACTACATGTATGTATGTGTATCCCATGCATGCCTGGTTCCCTGAGAGGCCAAAGAAGGCATCAGATCCTTTTGAATTGGAGTTACAGGTGGTTGTGAGCCACCGAGTAGTCGCTGGGAACCAAGTTCACGTTTTCTGCAAGAGCAGCAAATGCTCTTAACTACTGAGCCATTTTCCAGTCCCTCCGTACTTATACTGCTTCTGTTATCTCTTACTGTTTGTGCCAGAATATTTTGAAGCATTATAGTCGTATCTGTAATTTTTTAAAGTATGTGTCTTAAAAGATAAGGATTTAAAGTAACTGTCTTTCCATACCCGACAAGTTTAGTAATAATTTGTTGTCCTCTAATATTTAGTTTCTGTTTTTTATCTCCTCAAAACTGTCTTTGTTTGTGTAACTTGAATCAGAGTCCATGTTTTCATTTGGTAACACATTACCTTGCTTCTCCATTGCTGTGATTTAAACACCGTGACCAAAAGCAAGTTAGGAAGAAAAGGTTTATTACAGTTTATGGATTGGAGTCTATCATGGAGGAAAGCCAGGGCAGGAACCTAGAATCAGGCACTGAAGCAGAGACCAGGAGGAATATTGCTTCCTGGCATGCTCTGCCTGTTTTCTGGTGGGACTGGGGAGGTAGCTCTTTTTTGTCAAGTGCTTGCCATACAAGCATGAGTACCTGAGTTGGCTCTCAAGAACCCTTGTAAAAAACAGTCTGGCATGGTGACACAAGCCTATAATCCCAACATTCTAGATTTGTCAGCATGTGCCTTTTAATCCTACACTGGGAAGATAGAGACGGACAATATGTGTCTGCATCATCAAAACTCATGAGCTTCAGGTAGCAAGAGCCCTTGTCTCAAAAAAACAAGGTAGATGGCATATGAACCTCCTTCATGCACATATGTACGTACACACACAGGTGGAAACTGGTTTCATCAGTTAATATTCAAAAACTGAACAGCACAGAGTGGAATATCAGTGAAGGAGTCCTTCAGGCCTGTCTCCCTTCACCACAGAAAAGGTTTTAAGCCTACTGAAACCCTGAATCTCTAATGGGCAGGTTCCTGCTTCAGGACTTGTAACAGAAACAGCTCCCTTCCCTGCTTGTCAGTAGTTTGTCAACAGTTTTGGTTCTACCATTATTGACTTCCCTGTGGTGACTATGAACACAATTGTTGAACTTGTAGATTCAGGTTATTTTATTGCTACAGTTGATGTGGCAGCCAGACTTGGTGGCACAGGCCTTTAATCCTATTACTCAGGAGGCAGGGGTAGGTAAATCTCTGAGTTCGAGACTGGTGTGGTCTATAATATAGCAAGTTCCAGGACAGCCAGGGCTACACAGAGAAACCCTGTCTCACAAAATAACAACAAAAGCAAGCTTTTGGGAGCTGGAAAGATGTCTTGGTGGTTAAGAGCACTGGCCACTCTTCCAAAGGACCCAGGTTCATTCCCAGTACCACATTACAGCTCACAACTGTAACTCCAGGGGAGTTCAGCACCCTCATAGAAACATAATTGCAGGCAAAATACCAATCAATACATAGGAAATAAAAATAAATCTTTTTTTTAATTAAAAACAGGGACTGGAGAGATGGCTCAGAGGTTAAGAGCACTGACTGTTCTTCCTGAGGTCCTGAGTTCAATTCCCAGCAACCACATGGTGGCTCACAACCATTTGTAATGAGGTCTGGTGCCCTCTCTGGCATGGAGGTATACAGGCAGTAGGAACATTGTATACACAATAAATAAATCTTAAAAAAAAATTAAAAACAGATTATAAGTAAGTTCTGCCCATCATCCTTTACTGGATTTATCAGTCCATTCCCCAGATTCCACTCTTAACTCTTTCATTTAGTCTAAGGTATTTTTTTTGCTTCTGTAATTCATCTGTAACCTAGTCTATATTTGTTTTCAATTTTATAGTTACTAAATCAAGGAGATTTAACCGAAAGACAGACATGAGTGTGCTGACCTCTGTAGAAGCAGCTCTATCTGACCCCAGAGTGCATGATGGGAACAGATCCGAAGACTCACATTCTGCCAGAACTAAAATGAATCTGTGAAGGCCAAAGATCTCACCTTGCTTCTGTCCATCATCCCTGGCTGAGAAGAGGGATTCCTCCTGAGGGCTTCTCTTCAACCCCCATCTGATCCTGACAGAGTGAGGCTGTGACTATGGGCTGGATGCTGTAGCTGCCTCTCTTCCTACTGCAGTGTAATGATATGCCGGGTGAATATTTGCATTGTGACTGTGCGGGTTTTCCTTCAGAGAGTTTTCATCCTAGACCCAGCTATCTTTGTATGGTTAAATGAAGGCCTGCTTCCAACTCTAGAACTTCACCAGGACATTGAGTTTTCAAGATGCCTTGTTGCTTTGAAGAAGGGAGTGATGCCAGTTATGTTGTGACATTCTTCCTTTAGCAACCTGCGTAAAAGACTCTCAGCCATTGGGCTGTAAAACATAAATTACTTGAATCTCCCCTTGGCCCAGGCTGAGGTACCTGTACACCTCTACTTGGTCATTTTGTTTTGTTTATGGGACTTAAAGTAGCATGTTATGAGGGTTGTTTTTTTTTTTTTTAAGTTAAAAACCACATGATCTAGAGTTTCAGTTTTCCTTTTAAGTAAACAAAACAACCAGTCTGCTCTTTGGCTCTTGTTTTAGACCAGTGGTTCTGATCTGTCCTAATACAATCCTTTAATACAGTGCCTCATGTGCTGACCCCAACCATAAAATTACCTCCGTTGCTACTTCATAACTGTAATTTTGCTACTGTTATGAATTGTAATGTAAATATCTGATGGGATCACGACCCATAGGTTGAGAACTGCTGTTTTAGAGAAAGGTCAAGAAAATAATCTAGTCTTCCTCTTTAAGATAGGGCACAGAAAAGAGAAAGGGGGCTAGGGATAGGAGTCATCCCTTTAAGGCAGTCAGATCCCTTATGAATTTGAGACCAGCCTTGTCACGTAAGTTCCAGGCAGCCAAGTCTACACAGTGAGGCACTGCCTTAAGAAAATAAAAAGAACACTGATAAGCCAGGTGTGGTGGTACCCCACCATTCAGAGGACAGATTTCTTAAGTTTGAGGCAAGTCTGATTTACTTAGGGAATTCCAGGATAGACAAAACTACATAGTAAGAACTTGTCTCTGAAAAGAAAAAGGTAAAAGCACACTTTTGTCTTGAGGGATGGTTTAGCAGTTAAGAGTACTTGCTACTCTTCCAGAGGATGCCAGTTCAGTTCCTAGCACCCACATCAAACAGCTCACAACACCCTCTGACTCCAGCTCTAAGGGATCTGATGCCCTCTGATGGTGTCTGTGGGGACCTGCACTCATGTACATACCCTCCCCACACACACACAACACATACACACACACATACCATAATTTTAAAAAGGAAAAACACTACTACCATAAGATAGGGTGCTAGCTTTTAGGATACTATATAGGTATATAGGTAAAACTGAACTGAGGAGCCTTAGGAAACCAGACAAGGTGGTGGTGGTGGTGCACGCCTTTAATCCCAGCACTGGGCAGGCAGAGACATTAGATCTTGAGTTTGAGGCCAGCCTGGTCTATGCAAAGAAACCCTATCTTGAAAAAGAAAACCTGACACCACTGTTTAGAACTGGCAAACCTAAGCTGGTGGTGGTGGTGCACCCCTTTAATGTTAGCACACAGGAGGCAGAGGCAGCTGGATCTCTTGAGTTCAAGGCCAGCCTGGAACATAGAGAGTTCCAGGACAATGGGAGATACCTCAACTTAAAAAAAAAAAAAACCAAGCAAACAGAACTGGCAAACCTAAATTGCTATTGTCAGAGTATCAGTCTAAAATATGACGTCTAAGTCTTGGAAAATGGCAGTAATAAATGGTAATTTTCCCAGAAATGGTTAAACATGAGAAATGGGCTTCTATTAGCCTCTTATCTGCCTACAGCACAGCTAATTGACAAAAACATCCCGAAGATTACTTATTAGTACAAAATCACAGTGTTCAGAAGTTTTATGTAAAATGAATTTTATGCTGTTACAAACATTCACATAGTGCTGTGTTCTCAAGAATGGCAGAACGGAAGTGCTGTTCTGAGTTTGTTATTGGCATGCATAATTATCCTTTAGTATGGAGACTAAGTTCATAGCAATTACTTGTTTTTCCAAAATTATCAGTCTTTCTTTGCTTTCTACAGCAGTGATATTCAATCCAGGACTTTTTTGCCCTCTAGAAGCCATTTGGCAATGGGTGCTACAGGGCATACAGTAGGTAGAGGCAAGGGGTGCAAAGACATCCTACAAACAACAACAACTGACCTGTTCCTGTGTATCAGATGCTAGTGTTAGGGCCTGTGCGTCAGGTTGCAAATGTAGACTGAGACCTACGTTTTATTACACGCACAGTATTCCTAAAGGTTTGGTTGCCAGGACACCAGGTTTCTGGCTGCTGATGAGAATGTGTATGGTCTGGCGGCCCTGGACCTCTAGTTCCTTATTGCTACCGGTTTTTCTACCTGCATTCCTCTTGTACCTACTCCATAAATGTGGGTTTCTACCTTGTTTTCTGTGCCCACTCCTTAGTGTCAAGCGCAAAGCAAGAACCTTGGACCCCTCCACTTTCGACTCTACTTCCATCTCTTCAAGCCATTTCTGTTGTTATTTTCTCCCATTCCCTAACAGTAGCCATGGCTCTAAACTCAAGCTCCTCACCTAGTTGGCTGCTTGATGATCAGATGTGGTAATGATGAACGGACTGCTTCAACAAAGCCATTGCTCTTCAGTTCCTCCATGGGTCAGCAGGCTGGTCCAGAGTCATCTAAAGCCTGCCATGAATCTTGGATGCTGAGTTTTATAGTATCATGGATGCTGGGAAAACAATATTGTAAATTGAAAGGATGTATAAGGCTTAAGAATGGTCTCAGCATTTTCATTATTTGGTAGAAATATAATTTTAAAGATAAAAACAGGAATTACTTGGGATTAAAACTGGAAATAACAGTAATATTCTGCTTTTCTCTTATGACGTATTAGTTATGAAAGAGGTGATACCAGGGAATTAGCTATAAGGAGAGGTCTGCCAGCCAAGCAGTTTGATCATCTCACAAGTAGAGATGTGTGGACAAGCTGTTGTGGAAGTATAGGACTATAAACTCAAAATGAGTAACGTCTCTAAATTTTCCCCTCGTGGTGTCATTGGGGATGACAAGTTAGAGCCACAGATGATACCAGGGTCTCAGTACCTAGGAGAATCCTTGGCTTTGGCTTTCTTCTTGCCTTGCACAGCCTGTGTGCCTTGACTCTTGGTTCTCACAAACTCTTCCTCCAGGCCAGCCTGCCTCAGGGTGTCCCGATACCGCTCTTCTGCTTCTTTCCTGGCGAGGGCCTGTGGAGTGGAAGTTGGCTGACTGTAGAAGTCTCGCGAATTATGATAATCAGTCTTTATAATATTGCCCCTTCCACCACCCCCACCTTTAGTGCTAGACAAAAGTTGGCACAACAATCACAGTGAGGCTTATTTTGTAGCCATAGCTGGTAAAAAGGAGCCCCATGGGGATCTTGTTCAAATGCAGGTTTTCATTTAGTAGGTCTCAGATGAGGTCTACAATTTTGTATTCTAACACTTCTGGGAGGTGTCAGCTGTTAATTAATTTGAGAGCCACACCTTTGAAAAGCACCCAAACATCATCATCAGGAAGACTAACATATTAAAATCCTTAGCAGAATGACAATGGTCCTTATATAGCCAGAAGAAGCCTATCTTGTTTTACCAATTCAAGAACAAAACCATAGGCTACTTTGTATTTTGTTCTAGTATGTTGAAAGATCTGTTGTGAAAAGAAGAATGAGCTTACTTGACAAAAATGGACCTAAGGAGGTCAGCCTAAGTAAATTCTAGGGGAAGGGGTATCTGCAGCAGGAGGAGATCCACCATTACCTAGGAATAGCACACACTCGTATGATGGAGCGCTCACCCACACTGAACCAGAGTTAGACACAGCACCTAACTGCCTGAGGTGAGCTTCCTTAGGGAGATCTCTGGAAAGAGGTTTCTGGGGTCCTTAAAAGCAAGCACCCTGACCCTTAAGGACCTACATTTGGAGTAAGATGGCATTAATAAAACAAATAGCCTTTGTCATTAACTAACTGCCTGACATAAGCAATGTAAACGCTGGGCGTGGTAGTGCATTTCTTTAACCCCAGCAAAGGGGAGATTAAGGCAGGAAGGTGCATTCAAGTCCAGCCTGCACTCAATGAGTTATAGGTCAGCTTGTACCACATAAAAAGAAACCCTGTCTCAAATATCTTTATATTTTAAAAAGTGAAAAGAAATACTTGTTTTGGCTCATAGTTTCAGAAGTCTGAGACCATAGTCCCTTGGCCCTGTCACTTTAACGTCTGGCAAGGCTGAACATTATGGAGGTAAAAGCATATGGCAGGGGCTGTGCATATCATGATGGCCAGGAATCAAAGAGAATGGGTACCCGTGCCTTTTATCACCTGGGCCCCAGCTATGAGATCACGCTGCCCATAGTCAGGGTGCGTCTAGTTCCTTAGTTAGTTCTTTCTGGAAACACCCTCAAAGACACACCCAGAAGTGTTCTGCTTTAACTTCCTGGGTCATTCAGTACAATCAAATTGATGGAGTTCCACTTAGAATATCTGAGTCTTAGGAAACTCTGATACTCACACAATAAGATCTTTTCAGTTTCTAAGAAGCCTTGGTTCAAGGCAGAGAAGAGTTGAGACTCGGTTTACCTTGGTAACTTGTTCGAAGAGATAGGGCCTTGTTTGTATTCTTCTCTTCATTTCTTCCAATTCTTTCTTATATTCCTTTGTTCTTTTACGGTCATTGTTCCTGGAATTAACAAAGTTTCTAGAAGCAACCTATCTTTTTTTTTTTTTTTAAATATTTATTTATTTATTATGTATACAATTCTTTCTGCATATATGCCTGAAGGCCAGAAGAGGGCACCAGAGCTCATTACAGATAACTGTGAGCCACCATGTGGTTGCTGGGAATTGAACTCAGGACCTTTGGAAGAGCAGGCAATGCTCTTAACCACTGAGCCATCTCTCCAGCCCCCGCAACCTATCTTTTTTAATCAGAAAACCCTTCATTCAGATTAAGCAGAGTCATTCCCACATACACTGAATTCCTAGTCATTCCCACATACACTGAATTCCTACTGCCTGCCAAAATCCTTGACTGACTTTGATAACTCATTTTACCCTGACTTCATCTTGCTATTTCAAAGCCCACGATGTGCTGGGACTTAACCCAGGTGCTCCTCTGAGCACAGGGGACACTGACCGGTTTTCTTTCAGCTTCGCTTTGAACACCTCTTCCAGGCTTTTATGGGGATCCATGGCTTTAGCCCGCAGGGTCACTGATTTAGACATGGCTTGACAGTTCTTTTTGTGCATCTCCAGCCACTGAATGCTCTTGTCTGATTTGTCCTTTTTTTCAAGTGACATTCTAAAGGAGAAAGCAAAAGTGAGAGATAACGTGGGTACATTTATAAGCAATCTTAGTGACTTCTCTGGAAAGTCAAAGTCAGTTAAGTGGTTTTTTGTTTTGTTTTTGTTTTGGGTAAGATTTTTTTGTTTGTTTGAAGGGGTGTGTGCTCATGTGAGTGCAGGTGCCCCCAGGGTCCAGAGAGGGCATCAAGTCTGCTGGAGTGACAGGCGGTTGTCAGCTGCCCAGTATGGGTGCTAGGACCCATATGCAAGTCCTCCACAGTACATGTTCTTAACCACTGAGCCATCTTCAGCCCCTAGCTGGTGTTTCTACAAATAAGATATTTTCTATAAATTTGCCACAAGTACACTTCCAGAAGCAGTGATTCTGGGGATGGGCATGGTGGTAAAAAATTCTAACACCTGAGAGCAGTATTGGATGCTCAGGATGTCCCTGCCCTACATGAGACCCCATCTCAACAAACCAAAACCTATTCTGGAGTGAAAAACAGTGGTAGATGATACCGTTCCAGCCCTTTGGATCCTGTGATTTCCCACCAAGAGGTACCCATTTTCTTTCTTCTTTTTTTTCTTCAGAAGACACGAGTTAAAATGGCCTTACACAGCTAAAATTCAATAGGTCTGCTAGGCTTTTCCCCTTTCTGGAGCAGTACTATAGCTACTGTTTACCAAGCCGCATACCAGGAGCCAAAGACCATTACATTTCATGTAATTCTCACAAGGCCTTGATGAGGTAGACACGTGAGGCCCCTCTGACATGGGACTGAGAGGCAGAAAGTCTCTTATTCATAGCTACTCAGAATATAAAGGGAAACCAAAGCCAGAACCAGGATGGTGGATTCCCGGGTTTGCCCTTTACCACTGTGCAGGCAGTGACTTAGGCTCCCAGTTCTCTGAGAGGTCAAATCTCCACTTCCATGAAGGTCTGGAAACAGGCCTCCAATGTGGGTAATGTGGGTTCAACTTGGAGCACGCAGTTCATGTAATTACTCTAGAGTTCTGTGGTGGGTTCCCCCAAAAGACTCTGCACATAGAAATACAAAGGGCAGGAAGAAAGGCACAAAAGCTTAATTTGCTGAAGTGCTTACCCCGACATTGGGCAGCATATATCGTCGCTTCTTAGGCCTTGGGATACTGGTGCGCTTGGTCTGGGGTTAGTAGCCATGAAATCTGAGGAGGGAGGGAGTATCACTGCATCCTAAATATATCCTTGCAAGGTGTGACGGGGACATAGGGTCCTGCTGCTATACCCTGGGAGCCTCTCGGGAAGAACTGGGGTGTCAACCCAGGCTCAACTCGATCATGGCTCCCTGGCTCACTCTGACTAAATGGGAACAGCACCACAGGGGCAGGTCAGCTTGACTGCTACAAAGTCCACAGACTTGGACTTTTTTTTCTTATGGAAAGAAAAGGTCTTTGAGCACATTGCAAGGGACAGCAGGCTGGACAAAAACAATACTACAATACTACTAACAGTCTCATAGGCAGGCTTTACACATTCTCTTTCTCTGGAAACTTCTGTCTCTCTAGCCTTTGTCTGACTCGTTCCTCCTTATTCCTTAGAGGGGGCAGATTTCATAGTATGCATGTGGAAGTCAGGGAGAGTTTGCAAGAGTCAAGTCTCACATTCTACCACGGAGGTCCAGGGATTGAACTGAGGTCAGCAGGTTTGCCAGCAAGTGCATTTATCTACTCTGCCATCTAGTTGGCCTCACCTTATGTTGAGACAGCAGCTGCTCACTGAATATGGAACTCCCATTTTGGCTAGAATGGATGTCCAACAAGCTGGAGGATTTTCTCTCTCCATCCACTACTGACCCAAAAGAGCAAGCGCTGTAGGCACAGACTGTAGGCACAGACTGTAGGGTGCCGAGGATCTGAACTCGGGTCCTCAGGTCTGCATGGCCGATGCTTTCCCAGCTGAGTCATCTCCCAGTCCTTCCTCCTTATTCTTATCCTTCATGTTTTCCCTTAGACATGTGAGAGTACTACCCTGGGTGCCCCTGCGTCGTCATATAGTCCTCTATCCTGACTGCTCATAAGACAGGGCAATCACCTGAAAAAAACCCACATTTCGGACTTCATATTACACTCTAAGTTCCCCAGGGTATCTCTGGCTTGACATCGTGTCTTCCACAGACTAAGACCTCAAAAGGATTTGTTGGATGGGAGCACATATTCCCGCCCCATCAGAGAATTCCTCCAGCCCCTTGAGGTGTCTCTGATAATGGCAGAAGAGGCCCAGCAGCAGGACCAGCTCTAGTTCTGCCATGGGTCTGCTGTGACCTCCTTACTCACCTGACTGCAGACTCCCTCTTCCTGGTAGCATCTGTGATGTGCACAGGGAGGGTGTTGGCAGAAAAGGAAGCAAGACCACTCAGAGAATGACTCCTTGGCAAGGGGGCAGCGGCTGGCTGAGGGGACTTCTACAAGAAAAAAAAGCTGGCATTGGTGATAACATGAAATTGGGTTTTCTTTTTTCTTTTTTCTTTTTTTTTTAAACAAATCGTTTTTTCTTTGTTTTTTGTTTTTCAAGACAGGATTTCTGTGTAGCCTTGGAGCCTGCCCTGGAACTAGCTCTTGTAGACCAGGCTGGCCTCAAACTCACAGAGATCTGCCTGCCTCTGCCTCCTGAGTGCTGCAATTAAAGGCGTGTGCCACTACCACCAAGCTTCTTCTTCTTCTTCTTTTTTAAGATTTATTTATTCATTATGTATACAGTGTTCTGTCTCATGTATGCCTAAAGGCCAGAAGAGGGCACCAGATATCACTACAGATGGTTGTGAACTACCCTGTAGTTGCTAGGAATTGAACTCAGGACCTCTGAAAGAGCAGCCAGTGCTCTAATCCGCTGAGCCATCTTTCCAGCCCATGCAATTAGTTTCTATCCTAATTAGGATTCAGTTTCAGTGAAGGACTAGAAATGAGAATATTTATTTCCTCCACCCCTGGGGATAAGGAAAACAAGATCTTATTTAGTTACAAGGCCCAAACTTGCATACCAATCCTAATGTTTTTGTTTATTTTTTTGATATGGGTTTTTTTTTTTTTTTTTCCTGAGACAGGGTTTCTCTGTAGCTTTTGAGCCTGTCCTAGAACTAGCTCTTGTAGACCAGGCTGGTTTCAAACTCACAGAGATTCACCTGCCTCTGCCTCCCGAGTGCTGGGATTAAAGGCGTGCGCCACTACCACCCAGCCCCCAATCCTAATGTTTTTAATAATTGTGTGATTAGCTTTGTCCATCTAATCCACTCTAGAATCACTGGGAAGAGAATCTCACTATGGAGCTGTCTGGATCAGGTGGTCTGGGGGCGTGTCCATGGGGTTGTCTTAATTATGTTAATTAAGTGGGGGAGACCCACCAGTTGTGTCCACTCACTCTTTGCTCTTGACTATAAATATGACAAGTTGCTTCAATTCCTGCCACTATGACTTCCCAGCTGTACCAGACTGCAGCCTGGGACTACGAGCTAGAATGAGCTGCTTGGTCAATGTATTCTATCACAGCGACAGGACACAAAGCCAAGACAGACTGGGCTCTCAGGCTTGCTTGGACTTACATCTGCAGAAATCCCTCTAGGGAGGTGGGAAAGGTGTGTTCTTGTTTTCAGTTTACAGAATGTGGATCTGCTGGGGGCTGAAGAGACAGCCCAGACCTTTAGAGCACTAACCGCTCTTCTGGTGGCCCTGAGTTCAATTCCCAGCAACCACATGCGCTCACACCCATCTGTAATGAGGTCTGGTGCCCTCTTCTGTCGTGCAGGTAGAAGACTGTATTCATAATAAATAAATCTTAAAAACAAATATGGATCTGAGTACAACTGAGCAGGTGGTCAAAACAGAAAAAGAAAAATGTCAAGGTAACTGCCTTCCTTTGAGACCTGGGCCTACTCTATTTGCACATCAGGCCTCAGACCCTGGCCCCTCCCTGCCACCTGCCTGGGTTCTCTTTTTCCCGCCTTCAGCAGTAGCGACATCACAGGGCCGTGGAGTGTGGCACAGGCTGGCCGTCCGTAGCAGGAAGGGCTTGTTTCGTGTTGTCTCCCGGGTCTCCCTTCTCTTGGCAGCTCTTTTCTGGAAAGCCTTGTAAAGGCCCTCGTAGTCAGGGACCACAGGGTTCACCCGAGGCTGGAATCCGAATTCTGTCTGTAGAAAGCTCAGCTTTTCCTCCTGGGTGCGGGTAGCTGTGCGGGGAGTCTGGCTGCTGGATGTGCTGATGGGGGACGAAGCCATCTTGAGCATGTCCATGGCTCGCATCTGGATTCGAATTTTCCTGAGGAGCTCTGCTTCTGTGAGAGGGCAGTGAAGGAAGAGGAGAGGTGACAAGTCTCAAAAACAATCTCCCCTGTTTTGGAGACAGACTCTCTCTGTGCAGCCCAGATTGGTCTCCAATTTATCTAAACCCTGCTGCCTTGACCTCCTGAGAAGGTGGGATTACAGGCACAGGCAACCACGGGCCAAACTTGCCCTCATTTAAACACTAAAGTCCGTGGTAGATAATAGGGGAATGTTAACAACCATCCCCCCAATGGTTAGTCCCTCTCCAGGGTGAGGGAGGGACAGGTGGCCCTCCCACAGGCAGCAGGCTGGAAGTGGTACTGGCTGATGGAGATCCTTTATGTTGTGACCTTTGCTTCCGTACCTATGCTGCTCCAGAGGTTTCCACGTGTACTTACAGAGACAGGTCAAGGAGGGGGGTTGCCTTAGGACCACTCTATAGACCAGTGTGTCTCAACCGGTGGGTTGAGATAGCCTTTATATCAGCCTTTTATATTACGATTCATGACAGTAGCAAAATGACAGTTATGAAGTAGCAATGAAATACTTTTCTGGTTGGGGTCAGCACAGCACGCACAGCATGAAGAACTGCAGTAAAGGGTCACAGCATTAGGAAGAGGGAGAGCCACTGCGGACAGACCCAGTCCTCTCTGCTGGCCTACGCCGACTGCATGGGGTAATCCCCACACCAGTGGAGTCCCTGAACCTTCATGTACATCTCTGTAGCGCCTCTGTATCCTTACCCTGGAGTTTGTCCCCAAGGGCTGGTTCTAGAATGGCCTTGGGGATCCTTCTAGTGGCCTTCTTTGGGGGGACCTTGGCCTGAGCCACTGCAGCCGAGTCTGTCTGTGGAGCAGCTTCCCTTTTCTGCTCTTTCCTTTCATGGAAGCTGAAGGGCTTTAAGGAGGAGAGAAGCAGCTCCTTCCTCTTCTGGATCCCTGCACGCCTCCGTGCCTCGCTGCGCTCCACGATCTCCTGGTAGAGTGGGAGGTAGACATGCGCCGGCACAGGCTGGGCCCGGAACTGCCGAAAGCACTCGGACTCCTCTTGCCCCTGTTTCTGGGCCTGCAGCCTCTCCTGCTCAAAGGAGGCAGGTGAGGCCAGCCACCGGGCCTTCTTCTGGGCCTCCCGCAGCGTCATGCGGAAGGGCTGAGGGACAGTGATGGAGGATGCCCAGGAGCAGACACTTCTGTGCTGGGAGGGAGGCCCAGAGTCTGAGGCTGGCAGGTTCTGTGTCTTGGCAAAGTCACAGGGAAGGCTGGTCATGGAGCTGCAGCGCCTCATGGAGCCACACCTGAGGAGAAAGCTGCACTGTGAGACGCTGCAGTCAGGAGGCTAGTGCCTCTCTGAGTGTGTGTTCCCCCTTACCCCAACCCTCACCCCACCATCCTCCCTGCCCAGTAGATCATAACCAAGAGGCTTCTTAGCCTTGGCCCCAAAGCCCCAAAGGCTTCCCTTCTTGCCACAGGCAATCTCAGAGGCCCAATGGAAACTATCCCCTAAGAATTCATGCAGGAATTGCCACTTTGCATTCTGATAACTGCCTAAGATAAACAGTGCAGTGGGATAGCACAGGGCTGCAGAGTCAAGGTATCCAATTCAAACCTTGAGGTGTTTGGATTTCCCATGTAGAGTGACAAAAATAATATCCACTCATGAGCTTATTGGAAAGAGAGTACATATTAAAAGAGATAAAGGCTAGTGTGGTGGTGGAAGCCTGTAATCCAAGCCCTTGAGAGGTGTAACTGGGAAGGAAGCTCAGGAGTTTAAGGTCAGCCTGCAGTATATGAGACTCTGTCTCAAAAAGACAGGAAACAAACATAAAAGATAGAGCATATACACATTGGCAGACTTGGCCACAGGCAATGAACCTTGTTACTCTTGGAGGAAAGGCTGTCTGGGAAAGGAATCCTGTGGATCATTCCTGTGCTTCAACTAAGCAAGTGCTGCCCAGAGTTATTTAGGATGGATGGCCGGGTAAGACTCAAAACACGCGGGCTGGAGAGATGGTTCAGCAGTTAAGAGCGTTTGCTCAGAGCTGTCTGTACCTTCAGTTCCCGGGAACCCAACGTTCTTCTGTTCTCCACGGTCACTAGGCAAATACATGGTACACAGTACATGCAGGCAAAACACCCATAGACAGAAAATAGCATTATTCAAAAGAATCGCAGTGGGCTGGAGAGATGGCTCAGAGGTTAAGAGCATTGCCTCTCTTCCTAGAGGTCCTGAGTTCAATTCCCAGCAACCACATGGTGGCTCACAACCATCTGTAATGGGGTCTGGTGCCCTCTTCTGGCCTGCAGGCATACAGACAGAATATTGTATAAATAATAATAATAATAATAATAATAATAATAGAATCGCAGCATGTGGCTGGATCCCAGAGCTAACGCTGGGCTGGGTCTTAGATGAATGACAACTTCCAGAGGTGGTCTGACAGGGAAGGCAAGGGTCCTGAGCTATGGAACGACTGGCCTGCAATGCCGGAATGCGCAGTCACTGAGTGCAGTGTCTTACCGAAGAGATGGAGGGTCCTGGACCTGTGGCTTCCCCCTGCTCTTGTCTTGGAAGAAAGTCTCTAAGTCTTCTTCATCCTCAGAGCCGTCCTGACCACTGTCTGGGTCAGACTGACACAGAGACTCTAGCCGACTCCACCGGCCTTTCTGCTTTCCAGTCTGTAAGGTCCTAGAAAAGCTCCCAGTGGAGTCAGAAGCAGAATCTGTTTCCTCCTCTGGGCTGAGGAACTCGTGGAGTTTTCCAGCTCTGGGCAAAACCAGCCCTTCTCCAGACAGCTCATCTTCTGGCTCAGTGTCTGAAGAGGATTTGGGGGGAAATATCTAAAACAAAAGAGAACTCAATAGTGAATTAAACTGTAATTTCAGAGAGACTCAAAAGTGACTTTAACCTTACTTTGGATAAGGCCTGGTTTATTAGGGACTAAGAAGGGGCAAAGAAAAGTAAGATGTGTTCTTCACTCAAAAGCCATTTCCCAATACAAATGTATTCTATGCCTGTCTATGAGCAGGGACCGTGCAGAAGAGCTAATGCCAGTTCCCTGCTCCGCTCAGCACGAAGAGCACCCTGAGTTTGGAGGGAAGCACACATTCTGTTCTCAGTGCTCCAGGATGACTGCCTGTGACCTTGCCCGTGACCTTGGTTACCCTCTGTTCCCAGGGTGATTTGGGATTAACCTAATTGTTCCCCATCTTCCTCTTCTTATTTCCCCATCAACAACAGCCTTACTTTCCTCACATCCTAGCCAACTTCCACACCGTCACCAGGAAAGGATGATTGACATCAGGAATGGTGTGTCTAGGTGAAAGAGCAACATGAGAGTAGAACACCCAACCGGCTTTTAAATATGTCAAGGGCTAGGAGCGAAACCCAGCGGCTGAGCCCTTGCCTAGCACTGTGAAGCACCAGCACCAAAACCACGTTGATCCATGTATACATAAGAACATTTGGGCCGGGTGCCTACTATGTCGTGAAGCTTGTATTCTCATGAGAACAAGATAACACAAATGTGCCCTGGGAAAGCTTTTCTGCCGATACACATCTGAGGTCACCAGGATGTACCAATAATCAGGATTAAATTCATCAACTCATAGCATAGCCTCCAAGAAAACTATAGCAAATGTGCGGGGACAGAGTTTTAGCATCGGTGTGCTACTCTCCTGATTGTGTGACTCACTAGGAACTGCAAGTCACAGCCACTGCCCAACACAGGGATCCTATGGCCATTCAGAGAAAGACTGAAAATCTGGGGCGGGGCTTTGGCTCCGCAGCAGAACACTTACCTATGCACAGGGCTAGTCCCCTAGACTCAGTCCCCAGTACCACACGAGTAGAAAATAAAAGTTAAAAGTTTTGTTCCTGCTGAATGCATTCTGCTTTGCCACCATTATAAAACTGAGAGCAGAACTGGACCACTGAGGTCAGGAATGTCTGATTCTCAGTTTTAGGCTGATTTTTATTTCCTCAAGTGAATCTTGAAGTGACAGGAAGAAGCTGGTGTGGCTGGAGGACTGGCCTGACATGCCCTTAGGTTGGCAGGAACTAGGCCAGGAGGGGAAGATAGATGCTTAGTTGCAATTGGAGCTGTCCATCTGGGTTAAAGATCTGTGTGTGCTGTGCCCCTAGCTCCGTTGCTGAAGAGCATGTGATACAGGGCTCAATTCTCTCTCCCCCTTTCCTTCTCTTCCTCGCTCCATCACCTTGACAGGGTCAAAGGGTGACCTTGAACTCTTGATCTTTAGTCTCTAGAGTTGGGATTATAGTTCTGAGCCATAATGCTGGCTCCTTCTTTTTAAAAATGTTACCGAAACACAATGCCCATGGTATACAACTCAACTCTTTAAGAGACTGGCTCTAATATAAGCAGAATTGCTTAATTCTCACAGTGTAATTCAGAACATTTTCTTCCTTCCCCTAAAGCAGTAAAAGCGGTGGTTCAACCTTCCTAATGCTGCAACCCCTCAATATGGTTCCCCATGTTGGGCTGACTCCCAATTATAGTTATTTTTTTAATTTATTTATTTATTATGTATATAGTTTTCTGTCTGTATGCTTGCTTGCCAGAAGAGGGTACCAGGTCTCATTACAGATGGCTATGAGCCACCATGTGGTTGCTGGGAATTGAACTCAGGATGGCTCAGTGCTCTTAACCTCTGAGCTGTCTCTCCAGCCCCATAAAGTTATTTGTAGTGCTTCTTCACAGCTGTAATTTTGCTACTGCTATGAATCCTGATGTAAATATCTGATATCCCATCCCTAGGAAAGGGTCATATGCCCCCCAAAGGGGCCAGGACTCTCAGGTTGAGAACAATGGTCCTAAAGAATCACCATAGCCTTTAGTAGCTATTTTTTAATTTCCCTTAACCATCGCACATCGTTTCTCATTCTGTCAGCCCTAAGCAACCAGCAGCCTACCTTCGGTCTTTATAGATTTGGGGGAAATTGTTTAATCTGTCTTGTTTTCTAGAAAATGAGGTTGAGAGTGGACACACATACAGTTGAATGAACCTTAGTATATCCGCAAAGCTGCGCATTCATCACTACAGTACATTTCCTTACTCTAAAACAACAACAAAATCTTGGCAGCCTTTGGAAGCCTCTCCCTGTTTCTCCCCTCTTCCTCAGTCGCACGCAACGACTTGCCCCTTAGGTTTGCCTTTTCTGGATAATTATATGAAGCTGGAGATCACTTTAATATTTTCAAGGTTAATTCGTGGTTTGTTATTGCTACGCTCCCCGATGTCAGGTCAGAGTCTGTACATGAAGCAAGTGGTTCAAGTCCCCAAGACAGAGTCCCTCAACATCTAAGCATACGTAATTGTAATTCCACGCCCTTCAGTGACACGCCCCTGACTCTGTCTCCACGGCAACGCCAAACAGTTTCCCCTCTTGGGGATTCCTTTCAGAGGCATCCTGCTTCCGCCTTTCTCCGCTCACCTCACGGCTCCACTTGGCGCATTCGGGCGCCCCGGCAGATTTCCCCACAGTCATCTTCCTAACCAGAAGCAGAAGCGGCGGTGACAGCAGCGCGGCCGGCGAGACACTGGTAGCCACGCCCCTTTGTAGCCCTAGCCTCGGATTGGCTTCCAGTGTCCAATCTGTTCCGCCCCAGGAGTCAGGAGCCACTTTCTGATTGGCTTAGTCTCTCCGCCCATTTTACTTCCGGTCCTGAAGACAGGCCTGAAGCGGCACAGGGTTGAAAGACCCTGCCCCGGAAGTGCTACCCAGGCGGGTGTTTGGAGTGTCCAGGGCGCACGCGCGAGTCATTATGGCGGCCCGCAGTGGCTCGATGACCGGTTTGCTGTGTGTCCGCTGGTGGAGTAGCGCGCCGCTTGCGGCCGGACGACGCCCTCTAGCTGCCTGTCGGCGATGGACCGGCTCCTCGGCAGACACCGTGTACGATGTGGTGGTGTCAGGAGGAGGCCTGGTGGGCGCTGCCATGGCTTGTGCCTTGGGTAGGTTCACCCCGGCGGTGGCTGGTGGGGAACTGGGCTGCGGAGGGACGGACATTGCTCACAGCCTGACCTGGTGGTTTGCTGGCTTCCCTCCCTGGGGAGCCCTCGGACCCACAGGAATGAGCACGATGCTTCAGTCCTATGGGATCAAAAGTGGGCGGGCCTTATAAGTCAGCCCGACCCGTGGGAACTGCCCAGAATTTATGAGCCTTGTAGTATTGGATAACAGACCAAACTGGACTCCAGAGATCCGCCTGCTTCTTTCTCTCTAGGGCTGGGATTAAAGGCGCCCGGCCCTAAAGCTGCTCACAGTACAGTTCACATAGTTATAAGCCCTCCCACTTAAAGCAGCATGCAGTCCAATCTGTTTTTTTTAATACATTCGCAGAGTTATGTAGCGGGGCAGTGGTGGCGCACGCCTTTAATCCCAGCACTCAGGAGGCAGGGGCAGGCGGATCTCTGTGAGTTCCAGGCCAACCTGGTCTACAAGGACAGGCTCCAGGACAGGCTCCAGAACCACAGAGCAACCCTGTCTCGAACCCCCCCCCCCCAAAAAAAAAATCAACACAGTAAGTTTTAGTACACTTTCCTTATTCTTAGAAACAAAACAAAAAAAAAATCTTGGAGCTCATTAGAAGTTATTCCATTTCTTATTCTCTCAGCCCTAAAGAGCTAGTCTCCAGCCTCCTGTCTGTAATTTGCCTTTTCTGCAGTTATAAGTTGATTCAGGTCAGCATCAGGTGTATAAAACCCTCTGTCCAAAAAAAAAAAAAAACAAAAAAACAAAAAAAACCCACAAACAAACAATATATAAGACATTTTCATTAGGCTTTTGTTTGTTTATTCTTTTGAAATGAGGTCCTATTCTGTAGTCCTGGCTGGCCTGGAACTTGAAGTGGCACCCCTCCCCCCATCTGCCTCTCTAAAGCTGGGGTTCCAAACACACTCCTAATTCATGTAGGCTTTTATTAAAATTTTTAAATTTTATTAAATTTTTATTAATTTTCCCTTTAAGTTCACTCTGTCTTTATTCCTCTTCAGACATGCAGCTAATTATGTTTCCTGCGTGTAGTTCCCTCTCACATCTGAGTTTGGGAACAGTTCCCTAGTACATTTAAATCCATTCTTTTTTGGTTTTTCGAGACAGGGTTTCTCTGTAGCTTTGGAGCCTGTCCTGGAACTAGCTCTTATAGACCAGGCTAATCTCGAACCCACAAAGATCCTCCTGCCTCTGCCTCCCGAGTGCTGGGATTAAAGGCATATGCCACCACTGTCTGTATCCCCAGCCTAGAAACTTCACATCCAAGGTTACGAGACTAGTTCGTCTCTTTTGTTTTTGTTGGTGTTTTGTGCTTTGTTTGTTTTTGAGACGTGTTCTCGTTCTGTAGCCTAGGCTGACTAGAAAATCATGGTAACCTGAAGCATAAATCTAATTAATCTTATCATTAAAAACCGAGTGAGATATCAGGGTAAAAAACTTGACCAATCAGAGAAGCAGAGAGAGTGCCACAGTCCCTTCCTACCTGTTCCGTTTCTCCAACCAGAAAGGGTCCTGTTTCCGTTCACCTTATCACTTTCTGACTCCAAGCAAGCTTTACTTGCCAGAACACAATGAAAATATCACACAACAGCAAATATCCCACCTTAGCCTCTAGGTGCTAGGATTACAGGTGTGAGCTACCTGTATTTGTATTTGTTTCTGATTGAAAACTTAAAGCATAAAAAGTATACTTATTAATGGTGTGCCTTGTAATGTTTGATACACACATAATTTTAAGTCTGCTTAAACCTTTCCTTAAGCATTTATTATTTCTTTATGATGAAAACTTTGAAAATTCTGCTCTCTTTAGAAGTGTGCAGCATTGTTATTAGTTGTAGTTGCCCTACTGTGTAATTAAGTCCTTGTAATTAAATTCAAAAAATTAATTAAAATGTTAATTCTTCTTCTTTTTTAGGACATGACATTCATTTTCGTGATAAGAAAATCCTGTTGCTAGAGGCAGGTCCAAAGAAAGTACTGGAGAAACTGTCAGACACTTACAGCAACAGAGTCAGTTCCATCTCCCCTGGCTCTGCAACCCTGCTCAGTAGTGAGTAGTAGATGAGCCCGACTCCTGGTCCTGCCTCCTCTCCTCTCCTCTCGGCTTTCCCACAGGGCACAGAGCAGGCCCATAGGTCAGTCCCCAGAGCAGGGGAGAGGAAGCTCGCAGTGGGGAGTGAGCAGGTAGGCTTGGCAGTGGTCATAACTGAAGATGAGGGCTGCTGAAGTGGACAGTGTCCAGTCCTGGTCTGGAGAGGACATCTCGAGACACGTGGATCCATCATGTCACCTCATTTATGATGTTAGACATTATTATTTAGTCCCCTATGTTCACTCTATTCCAAGTCAGGCCTCAGGCGGGCTGGGGAGTCTGCATTTTAATGGTCTTTTTTGGGGATGTAGATGAATTGTCTGTCTGTGCTATGTGGTACTCCATCAGGCCACCCTACCTGACACCGTTCTATCTAGAATTAAACTCTTCAGTCACTTTAGCTTGATAGCTTGCTTGTGCTATCTTTCCTCATTCTCCTGAAACTTGCTTTGGAGACCAGGCTGGCCTTGAACTCAGAAATCTGCCTGGCCCTGCCTCTTGAGTGCTGGGACTAGAGGCTGGCTTCTTTTCCTTTTTCAAAGATAGAATCTGGCCTTGAACTTAATCTTGAATGCTGGTCCCTCTGCTTCCACCTCCCAACTGCTGGGATGATATGAGGCATAACCACTACATGTATGGAGTTACCTCCTTAGTTCCTAGAGATCCTTCTTTTCTTTTCTTTCCCTTTCTTTATAGTTTCTCGGGACAGGGTTTCTCTGTGTAACTGCCCTGGCTGTCCTGACATTATATTATGTGCATGTTCATGTTGTCTGTCTCTTCAGCTAAAATATCAGCTGTACATGGGAATTTGTTTGATCTACTCTGGATCTAAAATTATAATTGGCCCTTGTTAGATGCTCAGTAAATATTGCTTCAAAGCACAAATGTACTTGGTGCCATGAAGAAATGAAGAAAACAGTCTTTAGAATGTTCATAGCTAATAACAGCTAGTAAGGAAAAAGGCTGATGCTGCTTACTTTTCCTTTTTTATTATCACTGCTTTACTGTGCTCTGGCCTTTTGGCGTCTTCCTGCTGTGTGATCTGGAGCAGAGAGCTGAAGGGCTTGACCCTGACAGCTTGAAGAGCTTTTCCCTTCTGCTTTTGGAAAACACTGAAAACAACCTCCTGCTTAGCAGTTGGAGAGACACAAGGGAGCCCAGGAGCAGAGGTCCATGTGAGGTCACTGTGTGTTTTTTTTTTTTTAGGTTTTGGTGCATGGGACCACATCTGCAATATGCGGTGCAAAGCCTTCCGGCGGATGCAGGTACCTCCTTTCCCTTAATTTTGTCGGCCGACAGCCGACAGACTGGGATGTGCTACCTCATTCTGGAAAGCCACATCTGGCTTGGGGTTGGAATTGTGTTTCATTTTCTTTAGGGTTAATGCACTTTTCTTTGTGTTTGCAGGTGTGGGACTCCTGCTCAGAGGCCTTGATCATGTTCGATAGGGATAACTTAGATGACATGGGCTACATAGTGGAAAATGACGTCATCATGTGTGCTCTCACCAAGCAGCTGGAGGCTGTGGCAGGTGAGCTGCCATCTCCATTCCTCTCTGGGAAATGATTGCCTCTGTACTTGTCAGAAGAAAAGACCCTCTTGTAGCCCCTTATAAAAGGCCCTTTTACAGATACTGAATAGCCCGATGGCCAGATGTGGTGGCACACCTTTAATGCCAGCACTCGGGAGACAGAGGCAGGCAGGTCTGGCATTTGAAGCCAGCCAGGACTGAATAGTGAATTCCAGGCCAATCAGGGATACATAGTGAGGTCTTTTCAAGAAAAAAAAGGGAGGGGGGAATTCTTTTAGGATTTACCTTTCTTTTTACCAGCTTTATTTGAATAAACTTGAATACCATCAAATTCTCCCATTTTACCTGTGTAACTTGGTGACTTTCAGTGTATCTATAGAGTTGTGCATCTATTGCCTCAGGATTCTTTAGAACGTCTCCATCACTCAGAAGGAAACCTCACACCTTATTGTCATTCCTCATTCTTACTGAACCTTTGCTTTTATCTTTCTAGAGCTGTCTGTTCTCAGCAGCTCAGAAGTGAGCCACACTGGATTAGGGGTTAGAGTCAGTCACATTGTAGCGTGAACTAGTAATACTCTTTCTTTTTATCGCTAATAATGTTTTATTGTATGGATATATCAAATTGCATTTATTTATTCATCAGTTAATAGAATTTGTGTTTTTCCACTTTGGGCAGTTGGTGAATAGTATCGTGACTGGTTTGTGTGATGGCTGGTTTGTTGTTTTATGTGTTCTCCAGGACGCAGGATTGAATGCAGGGTCTTAAAAGCTAGGCAATCTCTCTACTCTCAGCTATTTTCCCAGCTCTCTGTTTTGGACAGGGTCTCAGCAGGTTGCTCAGGCTGGCCTTAAACTCACTCTGTAGTCTAGGCAGGTTCTAAGTTGTAACTGCTTGTCTCGGCCTCACAAGTAGCTTGCAGAAGCAGGCCCAGCAACATGTGTTTTCCTCACTTGGAAGTGGAGTTGCATAGTCACATCATAATTCTGTATTTAACATTCTCAGG